TCCTTCCTTCCTTCTTCCTCCTTCCTTCCTTCCTTCCTTCCTTCCTTCTTCCTCCTTCCTTCCTTCCTTCCTTCCTTCCTTCCTTCCTTCCTTCCTTCCTTCCTTCTTTCTTTCTTTTTTTTGAGACAGGGCTTTTCTGTGTAGCCTTGGTTGTCCTGGACTCACTTTGTAGACTAGGCTGCCCTTAAACTCACAGAGATCTGTCTGCCTCTGCCTCCAGGAGTGCTGGGATTAAAGGCGAGCACCAGCATGCCCAGATTGCACTACTTTTCTTTTGGGATGAAAAGTTCCTTAGTGAAAATATATACAGCCCCTTCAGTTTTCCGGCATACTTGCATTTTCCCCAAATGCTATGTATGGTCACAATGTTGACCCACCCACCAAGTTTTATTGCTTATCATGATACAGTTTGATTAAATGCCCTGAAATTTGCCTTAACTAACAAATAGAAACATAGAACACAATGAGCCCTAATTCCTAAAGTAGAGATTTTTAGTATTGATATATTTAGTATGTCATGGCAACCTTCCTTGCCATGGTGGGGATTTGCTGAGTAGACAGAGAAGTCAAAGTCATAAATGCTTCTTGAATCCAGTCCAGTCCCATTTTGAATTGCTCCTTATTCTTTTCCTTTATGTTTTCTTTTGTCTTCCACTTCTGGAGGCTCATGGGGACATTCATCCCAGTTAACCGTAGCAGTGGTTCCTAATCTTTCTGACATGTGTTGTAGGAGCTTAAATAAAAAAGGAGGTAGATGAAAGGGGTAATAATCTAAAGAAACAAGAGAGTAAGACCTCTATTTCACGTTCATGTGTACTGTTGGACTTCCACGCTGTTGAGAGAGGTGGTCAGCCCACATGATGCCAAACTTTTCCATGAGTTCCCCCTATTCCATGTTGCCGTCTGCCACTTTACTTTTTCGTAATGAGTACTGTTTTGAGAATCTTAAGAAATCAGTTAATCTTGTAAATTCAGGTTTGTTCAGGATAAAAAGGGAAAGGAGCTAATATAGGAGGAACCTGTTATTTGAAATGGTGGTTTCTAGAGTCTTCTTAGTTTATGAGGGTACCCCACAGTGGCTCCTCATGCCCACGGCCAACATGCTTCCTCCTGCTACATAGCTACTGGCATCTTCTGCAGTTCTGGACACTGTAACCACTTCTCTTGGCAGTAAAACCTTTGGGTTCTGCTGGAGCATCCACCGCCTCAGGCTGTCCTGTGCCTATATTGTTGCTTCCATTTCCTGAGCCCTCAGAGCCTTGGTGATGTGCCAGTTGAGATCCCTCATTCAGTGGCCTTCTGCAGAGGGGTTGAGCTTGGAACTCACAGAGTTAGTTCGTGCTATGTCTGACAGGCTTTGCTGAAGCAGAACAGAACACCCTACCTGACACCCGTGCGTCCTGTGCTGAGCCTTCCTATGCTGCTTTTGTCACTGTGAGCCTATCTTGTGTTTTGAATGTCTCACAATAGCCCTAACTGAACAGAGCATCCCCACACACCCTTTTCTTGTGCTGGGACAGTCTGTACAATAAAATTCATATTCCTCTTGGAATTCTTTATCCCAGCACCATCCTTTGCTGTTGATACATGCTATAGATGGTCTTGTGTCACTTTTAAGTGGGTTGTTCTATCTTCTTTCCCATTGGCCAAATTGAAAGAGAAGCCAGGTCATCTGGAGCCACTTAAGAGACAGGTCAGAGAACGATGACAGGGTGACAGCACACCTTGGAAGGCAAGTTAATCATCCCTGTGCAGGTACACTGCCTGCGTTCCTTAAAAAAGATTTTTCTGCTTCCTTTTTTTCTTTTTTCCTTCCCTCCATTTCACAGCAGAGTTTACTTTGGAGCACAATCTAAGTTAGGAGAGATTTTTTTTTTTCCTGAATTGTGCATTGATTTCACAGCAGGGTTTTTTTTAATAACTGTCCACTCTCTGAACTAAGCTTATGTCTGCTTTGGACTTCCTTGGCCGTGTTTGTGTGTTTCCTTGGTGCATCTCACAGCATGGCACCCCCGGTTCTCCTGCGTACTTCCAAAAAATATTTTCGGCTTTTCTGATATATCTATTCTTCTGAAACTCTTGGCAGAGGGGTCCCTCTTGGTGCTTTTTCTTGGGATTGCATTACCTTGTAAGTTAGTATGAGGTGGGAATGAAAAGGCTTAATGTTTGCACATGTTGTACAAAATTCTATCCAGAGCATTTTATGATTTTCAGAAAAAATTTAAAAAGTATTTGCTTATGAATAAACATATTTATATGTATATGCATTTGTCTTATATTTGCCTACCTGTATCTCTAGACACATAATTTAAAAATAAGTGCTTTGTTTGAATTTGTTTTTTGGTTTAGTTTTCTGTCTCTCGAATGTTTCTAACAGTCTAATGACTAAAATTTCATGGCTTTTGTAAACTTTTCTCCTCAAGTCCAGAGTTTGTCTCACTTCAGGTTACATTTGGACTGAATGAATACAGTGGTACCTTCTTTGAGCCTTTGCTTAGTGCTTCTAAGTATTTTGAAAGTCCTTAAAATAGTGATGGAGGCTGGTGAGACGGCTCAGCAGTTACAAGCACTTCACTGCTCTTGGAGAGGACCAGGGTTTGATTCCTAGCACCCATATGGTAGCTAACAACAGTATGTAACTGTGATTTTAGGGTATCTGGCACCCTCTTTCTGCCGCTGAGAGCACTGCATGTGCCCACTGCACAGACATGTATGTACACAGACAAAACACCTGTATACATCCTATAGAAATTAACACATCTCAAAAAAAACTAGTAAAACAATACAGTGATAACCAAAAGCTACTGAAAAACATACTGCCATCTGCACTGTATGGTGTGCTCGATGCTCAGCCATCTGTACGTACTCCAAATTCAAATGAGGAACCTCTGCTCTTGACACTCATCCCTCTTCTGCCCATCTCCTATTCTGGCCTGTGATTGGTGGCGTTTCTCAATATTCTATCACGGCATGCCTCAAAATCGTGAGAGAAAATGAGGTTAAAGTTTGTGGAGTTAAAAATGGTGCCCCTTGTTGAACTGTCAGTCTCGTAATTGCTCATGGGAGGGGGAAGGGGAATTATGAAGAATGAAAACATTCTTGTCTGCCGATATCAACTGTGGACATTTGGTTCCCCTTCATTTGTGCATCCAGAGAACCTTGTT